TCTTCTCTACATCGCCTGTTGAGTGTGACAATACAGGAAAATGTACAAATAAACGCCTGAGGCACAGGTATCCATTCTGCACCAGGTATGATGTCGGTTAGGCTGCATATTTGCCTAATAACATCTTCTGCCCGACCTAGCCACGATTTTCCCCTCTTCAGTCTGTCGCCCTTTTCACTAAAAAGCGCTTGATGCAGTGGGTGTTTCTTATCAGCACATATTTTGAGGTATGCCCGAGCCCTCCACATCCTGATCCTTTGGTTCATTGTTGGAAAGTCAAGTAGATACCTCATTGCTCCACAGGATGTGTCTCTTGTACATCCCAAAATAATACGCATGGCTTCATTTTGCACCTTCTCGAGTCGTTCAATCTGGGTAGCACTGACAGTGAGGATGGCCAGAGCGTATTCAATGGGGGAAAGGACCAGACCATAGAATAGAAGCACCAGCAGTCTTTGCTCGATATTGGAAGCAGCAAAGTGTTTTCAGATAACTGTGTTTCCTTTTTTTATTTTCAAACAGCAAAGTGCTATCAGATAACTGTGTTTCCTTTTTTTATTTTCAAACAGCAAAGTGCTATCAGATAACTGTGTTTCCTTTTTTTTTATTTTCAAACAGCCAAGTGCTATCAGATAACTGTGTTTCCTCTTTTTCAAACCATCAGATAACTGTCTTCTCTTTTTTTCAAACAGCAAAGTGTTATCAGATAACTGTGTTTCCTTTTTTTATTTTCAAACAGCAAAGTGATATCAGATAACTGTGTTTCCTTTTTTTATTTTCAAACAGCAAAGTGCTATCAGATAACTGAGTTTCCTTTTTTTATTTTCAAACAGCAAAGTGCTATCAGATAACTGTGTTTCCTTTTTTTATTTTCAAACAGCAAAGTGCTATCAGATAACTGTGTTTCCTTTTTTTATTTTCAAACAGCAAAGTGCTATCAGATAACTGTGTTTCCTTTTTTTATTTTCAAACAGTAAAGTGCCATCAGTTAACTGTGTTTCCTTTTTTGCAAACAGCAAAGTGCCATCAGATAACTGTCTTTCCTTTTTTTTCAAACAGCAAAGTGCCATCACATAACTGTGTTTCTTTTTTATTTTCAAACAGGAAAGTGCCATCAGATAACTTATTTCCTTTTTATTTCAAACAGCAAAGCGCCATCAGATAACTGTTTCCTTGTTTTTTCAAACAGCAAAGCACCATCAGATAACTGTTTCCTTTTTTTTTCAAACAGCAAAGCGCCATCAAATAACTGTTTCCTTTTTTTTTCAAACAGCAAAGCACCATCAGATAACTGTGTTTCCTTTTTTTTCAAACAGCAAAGTGCCATCAGATAACAGTCTTTCCTTTTTTTCAAATAGCAAAGCGCCATCAGATAAGTCTTTCCTTTTTTCAAACAGCAAAGTGCCATCGAATAACTGTTTCCTTTTTTTTCAAACAGGAAAGTGCCATCAGATAACTGTTTCTTTTTTTTTTTTTTTTCAAACAGAAAAGTGCGATCAGATAACTTTCTTTTTTTTTTCAAACAGGAAAGTGCCATCAGATAACTCTTTTTTTTTTTTTTTCAAACAGGAAAGTGCCATCAGATAACTGTTTCTTTTTTTTTTTTTTCAAACAGGAAAGTGCCATCAGATAACTGTGTTTCCTTTTCTTGAACAGTATACATTATAACCAGCAGCTCTTAAGCACTCTTGTACTGTATAAACTGTTGAACCAGGATTTACTGATCTTAAGTGATAGCCTGTGCTGTTATAAAGTCAGGGGAATGTGTGGAAACAAGAGACATAGATTGCAGAGCACCCCCAAGTGAAATCTACATGTTTCGATGGTTTGGACAAACATGTCAACAGTTGTACAATGCATTGGAAATAGCGCACAAACGACCCCCCCCCCCCCCCCCTCCCCCTCACTGAAGTAAATGGTGAAAGAGATGAAGAAGAAAACACTCTCCAGATGTGGTTCCAATGATGCCATTACTTTTTCCAAAATCTGTGAAATAAGTTGTCAAAAACTGCACTGCTTCAAATGCCTGTAGACTCTGATATAGACAGCTATTTTAGTAATCTACTCTTATACTGTGGATTTTTATCATGGTATGGGGTGTCCCAGGTCGACCCAGCCTAAAATGGGTACCAGGATGGCTGTCCTGGGAAAGTAAAGACGGCCGGCGAAATGCTGACCACATTACCCATCCAGTGCCGATCGGTCTGTAAAAATATGGGATGCTCTTCCCATATACCCGATGCGACTTAGGCGTGAAAAGAATCTTTACTTTTTTTCTTCTTGATTTTACTCTTATAGTTGTTATGTGTCAAACCTAGCATTTGTGGCAAAAATGTATTGTGCTTACATCTAGTGAACTAAATATTTAATCCTTCATTTTTATTTTTCAGATGTTGAGGGAGATGCAGGATTCTGGGTCTCACCATTTCCACCTCAAATATAGACACTTGCTACTGTTGTATAGTTTCCCCAATGTTTTCTTGCCATCTTGTTCTTGGTCTACATTGGACTCTCTCCTCCTTTAGTATAAGCCTTTTATAGCATGGCACAATAAGGCATTCTTTCTAGCAGAATATTTTATTTGTCACAGACATTTATTAGACTAGCCAACTGCTTAGGGCAAGAAGAAGAAGAAGAAGAAATGCCATGCATGTTAAAAATCTAGCTTATTTGTATGCAGACTGTTGGTTCCTTGTCACAGGCATATGCATTCCAACTTTGAAGGAAATATCCCTAAGAAGGAGGAGGAGGAAGAGAAGAAGAAGAAAAACTGAAGAGACAAGGGTTATAAAGAAAAATGTGATGTACCGAGAAAGAAGTGAATGCATAGTGTGATGGTTGGAATATAAAGAATTAGGTTCTCTTTTAAATTAGCTTAATTTTTTTTCTTCTTGTCTTGTTGTGTGCCTTTGGTAATGTTTGTTCACAGCCTTGTGCACAGTGGACTGTCAAAATATTTATTTTATAAATGTTCAGGCAATGACACCAAACTGTCAAATATCCTCTTCTTTCATCTCTCCGCTATTCTTCCCCTCCAATTTTCCTGTTGCCACAATGTATTCCAATTCTCTGCCTTTTCTCCTGATATGCCCAAATAATGTGGACTGCAAAATTTTCAAGATTGCTCTTAAGATCATCCTGTAGCAGGTCCTTTGCTACTCACATTTTGCCAGAAACAAACTGGCTCTCTTTCCAGCTCTCCAGTCTCATGTACTTTTCTACCTAAGGTGTCAATTATATCCTGTGCCCATACTTCCTAGTACCATGCCTTCTGTTATAATTTGTTTCCAATCCTCTGTGGTGTGTGGTATGGCCAAAATATTTCAGTTTTTAAGACAAGATGCTTTTTACTAGCCAATCTTCCATGATATTCAGATCCTTTAGGATGTCAATATCTCTCTTCCTTTTTGTCTACGGTATTGTTCTCAAGATAGCTTCACTATATTTATTTCTGTCTCTGATGTTCTCGACATTCTTCTGCAGAACCACATCACTGCAGCTTCAACATAATTCTTCATTAATGGGTTGACTGTCTATGATATTTAATATATCCCTCTTTTCTGTGATCAAAGCCTTAATTTACACCAACATGCAAGTTCTTTTGATAAAGTCAATTGTTTCTCTTTAGCATTATACAGGTCTGTATATAGTTTTGACTTAATGGACTAGTATTCCTTCTATGCAGTATAACTCCTTTTCTAACCTCACTGACAAAGATATACTGTATAGCAGGGCTTTTCAACTGGTGGCCCGTAGGCCACATCTGGCCCTCAGAGGCCTGGCAAGTGGCCCACTGGCAACTGTATTGCTTCAATGATCTTTCTATGCTGGGGCTTGAGCTTCTGGTCCGTGACTATCCCCATTTTGAAAATGTTGGCTCCTGAGTAAACTTAGGTGAATTCCTGTTGTATAGAATTCTGTATGAAGTAAAGGCAGATGTGGTCAAGGTCCTTTGGGAACAAGCAATGCAATCAGTAGAGAAACAAGATTATTATGGCCTCGAGAGAATAAGGCACCTTGTTGTAACCAGAGGGTCTGGCCGGCTCACTACACTGAGAGGAAAGGCAAGATGGGCATATAAACAGATTGTGACTGGTACAATTAGTATTGGAACTCTGCGCTGGCTGCTGAAGATGAGGATGGAGCACACATAGGAATGCCACAAATCCTGTGACGTCAATTCTTGACTCTGTATGGTTAATGTATTTACCCCACAGGCTAAGAAACTGTCCAAATATCATCAAATAATGACAATCAGGCAAACAAGATCTATGACATGGAGATTACATCATCATCACCATGTACCATGCCAGGCTGATGTTCTTGCTCCATCCTCCACCATTGGGTTCCTGGGCCCTAGTGGCAGATGTGGTGTGTATACTAATTCTGGGTTTTTATTCAGAGTCAAAGTACATCTGCCTGAGAGCTGAGTAACCAAAACTTTGCACATAAGAAAGACAAATCTGTAGAGCTAATGTGCAGGCAAAACTAACTTTCCAGAACAAGACCAAAGTCCAGAAGTGGGTGAACAACCAGAACTTTCTGCCGCAGTTTACAGCCGGTAAACGCTAAGAAGAAGTCTTGCCCAATATATATGACTAAGCAATCCAAGTATTTATCTCTTTGCTTTCCCATTACCCATTTTTCACCAAGTTCTCAAGTTCATTTCTTCATGCCATGTCTAAAAACACTGACTGTCGATGTCTCATTTCTCCAATCAGATAATGATTTGTATCTGTCTTTAGGAGGACTGCCTCTGTTTTTTATCATTCCATGAGCTGTTTTTGTATTCTTTTCAAAGCCCTGCCTCAGCTGCAGGTAACCGTTTATCAGCTTGTTGGCTTTTTGTCCATGTTTCACACGTATATAACAACACAGGTTCTATACAGCACTTTAACACTCTTTTTCTCATTGCAATTACATTATTTGATTACATGCACTGCTAAGAATGCCACAAAACAATTCAAAACAGAAACCACATAAATGTATTTCCAATTATCTCAAACATCCTGGTAGTCTTCCTTCCACTCTTTGGGCTCTGCGTATCTGTTATATCCATCGTAGTTGATACCTGGGCGGTATTCTGCTTCAATGACAGTTGGTTCTGTCAGGGCTATGTTTGCCTCTTTGAAAGCTTGAAGAACACATGAGGTCTGCGGGAAGGAGGGAAAAAACCGTGTTAAAACTCTTTCTAATTAACATTATGATGTTACGATGTAAATATGAGTGACAGCAGTCAAGCTGATATTAATAAGTCTTTTTTCTCTAGTTCTGTTCTGCTCTTAGTATCCTATTTTGAATAGAACGACACCAGAAGTGGGTAAACAACCAGGCCTTTCTGCCAGAGTTTACAGCTGGTGAATGCACACCAAGAAGAAGACATCTGGTGCAAGCCTTGGTGTGTGCAACACAGATTCACTGCCTCAGATACTCCATCTATCCATCACTTGCGTGAGCGACCCCTAGCACTGCTTTTGCTGTATCTCAGTGGCACTGATCTCTGTGATGATATTATCTTGTGGTAGTCTTGAAGAATGTCTGAACTATTTGACCTGGTGTTTTTTTTTAATTTAGTTTAGCTGCACTTGTTCCTGAGAATTCCTAAAAAAGAACATCTTTTAAGAAAACAAAACATTTTATCAGGACCTTCACCTGATGCCCAATTGATGTTAACCTAGAAGCCAATGTCATTTATTTTTAAAAGCCAAGCACTGTCCGCAGGCGAGCGTTTAGCTACTACAGCATGGTGGCTCCCACATTCCCCTAAGCCTAAAGATAATTTACACACTCACATTGTGACTCCATTGCTATGAGACTGCAGCAGACAGATTTTAACACCACATTTATCAAAAGTTGAGCCACTTTTTTTTGTAACAAAACCCCACAAATGTTATTTTTAGTAAATATATCATATCCTGCTCCCGTAAACACTGCACAAGCACTAAAAGAACCAATGCCATTAACCAGGCTTATCAGGGACAATTATCAGGGACTGGCCAATTTAGCAATGCAAGTTTAACATTTTCCCAGGGATTTGCTATTGATAGTGATGCTGGATTACCTGCATCTCAGGGTAGAAGAATTAAATTCTCTTATTGTACTAAATGTTTAATTACCACCATAGTAAACTTCAATTTAAAAAAGAAAAAAAGTTTTTCAACCTTTTCAGATGGTTTCTCTGCATCATCATAGAAGAGGGAAGTAATTCCGCTCTGCAAGCATCTCAAAGCTAAAACCTTCCCAATAGCAATGCTTGCAGAAACATCAGTGCAGCTGAAAGAAGCAACATTATAGATCATTCATTACAATGCCGCTGAAAAAAGCAATATTACATTCTTTCCCATATGTGCTCTACCCTAATCTTCACCAGCCAGCCAAGAGTTCCAATTCCGAAATTACCAGCAGCAGCCAGGTTTTATGTGGACCAAATCTAGCTTGTCACACATAAATTCACCACTCATTAGTGCAGAGCCATCCAATCTGTCTCCTGTTAATTTCCTAACACTCCTGGAATGCAGGTGAAAGAGGCAACATTACATTATTACATTACAATGCAGCGAAAGACGAATAGGTTACCCGATAGACACTCTGAATCTGCGCCAGCATAACCATTCAGAATACCCCTTGTGAAACACAAAAACAGACCAGAATCATAGTTATGCATTAAATGGATAGGGCCCCCATCAGAAGTGCCAACACACAAAATTCACCACTAGAATTGGAGGTCATCATGAATGGAAGCAGTAATTACAAAAGATCTGCAGGTGCATAAGGCACCACCAATCATGTGAATTTTGTTTTTTTCTTTCTGCACTTCACAACAAAATCCACACTTGACAGTTAAAAAGCATTCCAAATTAAATGCAAAACTCAATGTCAAATCATGCATTCAACTCAGTATCTAGGCAATGGATCTATATACTTTCAGTTCACAGATGGGCAGAAATGCAACTGCCAACTGTACCTAAAAGCAGCAACAACAACAAAAAACTTGCAAAAACTATTTTAAAAAATAGGCCCCACTATTTGCTACATTGCATGTTAATGGAGCAATATTACATTCCTTCATTTCAATGTGGCTAAAATAAACAACACTGCATTACAATGTAAGTGAAAGAAGCAGCATTACATCTTCCCAAGAAAATCCTATGTTGTAGGTTCTGACTGTTCCAGTAACAAACACACTTATAGCAAACAGAGCAGATCTGACCCTCTCATATGTCCCTTTAAAGTAATGATATCCACTCTGGATGCAGTTAATCTACATTCATTGGTCACGTCAGGTTAACAAAAACAGAAGGATGTCACAACAGTGGGAAAGCTGGAGAGGAGAGAGGCAGACAGACACACACACACACACAAAATTGCTGGACAGTTGGGCATCAAAACGCGGAAGAACATTTGGATAAGAGATGCAGCACATGAGAAAGAAGGCTGTGGACACAGAACAAACACATCATGGACTGGACAATGAGACAAAGAATGTCAGTGCAACCAGACCTAAATGCAACCTCATCATCATCATCATGTGCCCTGCCAACTAGCTTGGAGCTCATGCGTCTTCACAGATCACGATCACTGGTTGCCTGGTACAGCACTCTTGATGATATCCCTCCATGCAATCATTTCAGCCCATCCAGCATCATCTCTCTTGGTCTGCCTCTACCCCTTTTTCCACTGATCTACCCAGCTGTCACAATGTTCTCCAATGTCTCTCTTCTCATTATGTGGTCAAAGAACAGTGTTTGTCTCTTTCTTATTGTTGCATATAGAGATCTACTTTCATTAGCTTCTTTCTTTCAAGCAATCTTTGTTACATACTGTGGCTGTCCAAGGTATTCATAACATTCGTCTCAGCAACCACATCTCTGCTGCTTCCAAATTTTTCCTAATTTGTTCACTGACATATCAAGATTAGCTGTCATACAGCAGAGTAGGTTCTTTGTAACACTTTAGCACCCTCTTTCTGACTTCAAACATCTTTAAAAATGTTTATTATTATATATTCAACTAGCAGCCAGTCAAAGCTAGGTCTTCAAAATATCTCTCCTGTCTATCGTGGGTGTTCCAACTACTGTGCTCATGGTTCACACCCTAGATTCTAGGGCAAAAATACTGGTGAGCCTGATCTCGTATCATGAAAAACTTGTGTCCAGGTATACACAAATCCTGGGGTTCTACTGTAGATCCAAGGAAGTCTTTGTAAGTGAGAAGTGCCTTTAGAAGTAAAGGAAAAAGACTCTTTCCACACCAGTGGTGCATGGGACACATGACTGTAGACTCATATTTTTATAGACCAATCAACACTCGATAGGTGATGTAATCAACATCTTGCTGGCTCATTTACTTTCCAGAATATTTCCCAGTATCCATTTTTAAGTCTAGGTCGACCTCTGAGCCCAGTGCAATTTTTCCCCCAAATCTGCCAAGTGGGCCAGACATTTTTTTTTTAATGACCTTGGCTCCCAGGTCGACCCAGCCTTGAGTGGGTACCAGGTACAGTCCTGGGAAGTAAAGGTGGCAGGCGTGATGCTGGCATCACCCACCTGGTGCCATTTGGTCTATAAAATATAGGTGTAGCCCTATATACCCAATATGCCTGAAAGGCGTGGAAAAGGGTCCTTTACATTTACTTACATCGGCCAAGTGGGGACCCTTGGATCAGGGGGTGAGTGTCTAGACACTACACAACTCCAGCTCTGCTATGTCTACTACATATTCATGCCACATCTGTTCGTTTCTTAACTTTAAGCAATCCGGACTAAGAATCTGACATTACAACTGCTCTTCTGTCTTTCATCTCTAAACTGAGCATAGCCCTGCAACTAGTTCACACCAAGAACTCTGAAGATTTGTTCATGTTGGATTTTGCAGCTGTTTTCTTGGGAATAAGAAAGCTAGTCTCATTCCAACTCTTTTTAGACACCTTTTACAGTATACATGGTAGTGTATACCCTGGGAAGTAAAGGTGGCTGGGGCGATGTTGACTGCACCATTCACCGAGAGTTGATGGGTCTATAAAACTGCCAGTCTACCACCATATGCCTGATGGACCATTGGCTTCAACAGGTCCTTTACTTTTGCTTCGCTTAATGTAAGGGCATAAGTGACCAGACGCTCGCCTGCTGACAAGAGGTCATGGGTTCAAATCCACGTGGTCCAAGATTTTTTTTTTTTCAAACATGACCATGGCTTCAAAGTCGACTCAGGGTACCAGGTAAAGTTCGGGGAAGCTAAGGTGCCCAGCAGGATACTGACCACATGGCTCATAGAGGGTCATTTGATGTGTAAAAAAAAAAAAAAAAAAAAAAAAAAAAACCAGTCTAGTCTTATAAACTTGATGCACCAGTGGCGTGTAAAGGGACCTTTATTTTAATACTTCACTTGTAATGTCTTTATGAAAGGGTATTCCTGCGTGATGCTGACCACATCACCCATCTTTTGCCGATTGGTCTATAAAATATAGGTCTACCCTATATGCCCTAAACGCCTAAAGGTGTGGAAAAGCGTCCTTTACTTTACTTTTTATGGAAGGGTATTATAGAGTTTCTATTCTTCCCTTATGGCCCCAACTACACCATGATTGTTACAAAGGGATATTAAGGAACTATTTCTGAAAGAACTAATTATCTTGCAAAGAGCTTCACAGGCTTTGCAAGTTTGAACAGAAAAAGAAAACAAACATTCTGGCATTCTCACAGAATTGAACAATGTACCTGTACAACTGATTTCGTACTGCCCATTCATTAGTTGAAGCTGACAGCACTTTCTCTCCACTAAAGTGCTGAACATAGGCTTCTGTATGACGATTTGTGTGACAAATCACCAGTCTGCAAGAATATACATAACAGGCATCAAATTACTTTTTATTGTACTGTCATGTCAAATCAAATTCAGAGGTTTTGGAAAGACTGAATGAAAACAGAGATATAAATAAGAGACAAATGAAATTTCAACCATGATACTTTTATGTTCAGAAAGAAATGGCAAATTACCTAAGGTAAAATGCCTAGTGAAATTAGAAACAGCCAAAAAATTTACTGTGAGTCTGCAAGGTCCTGTAAAAAGATACACAACTAACTACTCTTTTAAACACTGTTCTGGAGGAAAAAGTTGAAGGCACCTGAGCTATTGATAGACAGCGATACAAGTGGAAAGATGAGATCAAGAAATTAATGATAAGGGAAGAAAAAACCAGAGTACATAAACATTGAAAGACAGAAAGTGAAAGAGTTTCACTGCAGCTAACCTTCACAGTGGAGAAGACATCTGGCTGATTCACTGACTGTCATGTTTCCCATCCACCTGCAAACTGAAGCTAATGGAAGTTTTCCTCTAGCACCTGACTGCCATAAAACATTGTGTGGCATTCTCTTTCTTATACCAATGCACTGCTCTGTCCATCAAAAACTGAGAACATACCCATAAGAGCTCATCTTTAGCATCCAGCTCAGTTCAAATTACGATAACAACAGTAGCAGTCTGATTGTATGTCCCCCTTGTCTTTCCTCTTAGAGTTTATTGCTGGCTAGATGACCACCAAGATCTCCTGCCATAGTGGAATCTCTATTACCAGTTCATCTGCATCTTGGTTTTCCTTGCACTTCAACTCTTTCTGTCCCAAGAAACACAATAAGAATGATCAGCTACTGCCAGTTTGTATTAAGCAAAGCATGGTGTGCTGTTTCATCATTCAGATTTAGTGTGAACATACTAAAGAAATGTGGGTAGATATAATATGTAGCACATTACAACATGGTTTGTGCATTTTTGTAGCACAACCGTTTTTACAGAGTGGGGTAGCTGGTCCCATGCTCAAACCATTCTTTCTCATCCAGGCAATGGTGAAGATATTAAATAGAACTTAAATCGGATGAATTCAAGAAAGTCACACACACACAAATGTCAGGACAACCGCCTGTCTCAAAAGTTATGGCAAGAAGAAGGTGGCAATATACTGGGCATATTGTGAGAAGAAACAGACAGGAACTCACCAATCAAGCACTGCAATGGGAAATGCAGGGATAGAGGTATTGAGGACAGCAAAGAGAAAGTCTAAGATGAACGTTATGGACAGAGGCCAAAGGCAATGAACTGGATTCTATTCATATCAAAAGACTGACCAGAATAAAATGGCATGAAGGACTAGATGGTGAACCCTATGCGATGTGTAGTGGAATGATAGGATGATGAATTAAAATAGTATATGCTATGCATCTTAAAGTTATAAGTGCATGCTTTTCTTGTAACGATCATTGTGCTTCTTGAGGATCTGATCAAAACCTTCTGGGGCTGAAGGAGTTTACTCTTTCTGTCCCAGACATACCTTTCTTTAACTCCTCTTTTTCCTAGCAGCAGTTGCTCAAGGAACTAAGTGTTTGGGACTGTAGTCGTTTAATAATTACAGTACAGTCGAGTCCACTTAAGTCGAACTCGGATAAGTCGAATTTTGGTTAAGCCGACATGGCCAGCTTAGTCCTGGCAATTGTCTTTATTGAGTGTGCTGTCTGGATAAGTAGAAATCCTGATAAGTGGAAACATTTTCTTAGGTTCCTGCGACTTCTACTTATCCAGACTTGACTGTATTGACAGAACGAGCAGCATAAAATGGGACAGAATGGGTTGAAGCCTTGTAAAATTGCCTAGTAAAACTGAAGAGCCAACAAAAATTGCCAGGGTTTGTTCTGCAATGGCATCTCAGAAATATTTAATAGATTTCAATGCTAGCACCATATGTATGAAAAGTCTCTGGTGTAAACAGTATCTTCCCCCTGTGGGTTCTGGGGCCCTATTATAGGGAGAAAAAGAATAGACCCACTGCTTACCCAAAAGCATGCCGTAAGAGTTGACTAACTGGGAGCTTCCTTCGAAGTCAGAGTGCATCTGCCTGAGGGAGGCAAGGAACCAGCAGTCTGCATACAAATGAGTCAGATCTGTAAAACAGACGCACACAGAAAGCTCAGGTTCTGGAACAGGACTGCAGTCCAGAAGTGGATGAACAACCAGAACTTTCTGCCAGAGTTTACAGCTAGAGAATGCGAAGAAGAAGAAGAAGAAGAATAGGGTCCTTTAGGTTTTTGTGTTTTTATTTTACTTACACACGCCGATGCACCAACGAGCATAAAAATGGTGATTAAATAATACAGCATAATGATAAAGAATTGTGAAATCCCAGGAGAAATGTATAACATGATTACTAACAGTATCATTTAATTTATGTTCCTAATGTGGGTTCCGGGGTCCCTCTGTGGGAAGAAGGGAACAGACCCACCCCACTGTGGGAAGAAGGGAACAGACCCACCCCACTGTGGGAAGAAGGGAACAGACCCACCCTACTGTGTAAAGAAGGGAACAGACCCACCCCACTGTGTGAAGAAGGGAACAAACCCACCCCACTGTGGAAAGAAGGGAACAGACCCACCCCACTGTGGAAAGAAGGGAACAGACCCACCCCACTGTGTGAAGAAGGGAACAGACCCACCTCACTGTGTGAAGAAGGGAACAGACCCACCTTACTGTGTGAAGAAGGGAACAGACCCACCCCACTGTGTGAAGAAGGGAACAGACCCACCCCACTGTGTGAAGAAGGGAACAGACCCACCCCACTGTGTGAAGAAGGGAACAGACCCACCCCACTGTGTGAAGAAGGGAACAGACCCACATCACTGTGTGAAGAAGGGAACAGACCCACCCCACTGTGTGAAGAAGGGAACAGACCCACCCCACTGTGTGAAGAAGGGAACTGACCCACCCCACTGTGTGAAGAAAGGAACAGACCCACCCCACTGTGTGAAGAAGGGAACTGACCCACCCCACTGTCCCTGCAGCACGCATGCCCAAAAGGAGACTACTTAGCTGTGTTTTCTTCAAAGTCAGAGCGCATATGCCTGAGAGGTAAGGGACCAACAGTCTGCATTTAAAAAAAACTAGATCTGTAAAGCACACATGCATGCAAAACTCAAGTTTGAGACCAAGAAAAAAAAGTCAATATGTGGGCAAACAACCACAACTTTAAACTGGAGTTTACAGCTGGTGAACCGCAAAGAAATATAACTACTGCTCTTAATAATTTCAATCATGTCACAACACATTACTTGTGGTAATAATCCCTGCGGGGTGCCTGGTATGTCCAGCCAGTTCGCTTCTTTGCTAGTGCCAGCTTCTCAAGATTTCTATGAAGTAAACATTGGAGAAAAGCATTTAAAATAATGTAAACACACAGACGTATGAAGTGACAGAACTTAGCATATTCTAAAGTCACTGCACCATGAGTTGGTTGTTTTCTTCTTCAGGCTTACAGGCGTAAAAACTAATACAGAAAGTTCTGTTTATTCTTCCACTTTTAGACTTTGATCTTGGTCCGGACCTTGTATTTTATGAGCACATCCATTTTAGAGATCTGACCTATTTGCTGTATGCAGACTGCTGATGCCTTGCCTCTTAGGCAGATGCACTCTGACTGTGAAGGAAACATCCCTAATTAGTTGCTTCCTATGAGATGCTGGCAAGAGGGCAGTAGGTCTATTCATTGTTCTTCAAAACACAGCCCTGAAACTCATATGGGGTTAGGAAGTGGGTGGGGATAGGAAGTGGCTGGGGACAGGAAGTGGCTGGGGACAGGAAGTGGGTGGAGACAGGAAGTGGGTGGAGATAGGAAGTGGGTGGGGATAGGAAGTGGCTGGGGATAGGAAGTGGGTGGGGATAGGAAGTGGGTGGGGATAGGAAGTGGGTGGATTAGATCTCTTCCTTGTCACCTTCCTGTCCCACAACAATCATGAGTACCCATTTCATAATGTTTACAGTAGAATATATTGTATATAATAATATTATCCAATGTTTAAAAAAACTACAAGAACAACAATCAGAGATGTCGAAAAAACTAAGAATTAAAAGAGAGTTGAAAGAAATTAAAAAGATGGTTAGTTGAGTATCCTTTACAGGATGTTGCAGAACCAACCCCAACAGCCCTTGGCTATTGTGCCGTTTTGCTAGTCAAATTTACGTCCAGTAGTTTGCCATTGCTTTCTGGACGGTCGGCCTTCTTGATACCACGGTCGAAACCAATGCAAGGCGCATGGCTCGCAGCTGGGATCGAGCCCGGCATCCCGGCATTACGAAGCGTTTGCAACAACTTAGCCACAGAGCCGACAATGAAAAAGAACCAAGTGAAATATTAAGCTACACAAACTTGGAGTGGCTTACTTCACTATAGCAGAAGACACCTGTTCTATATGTTAGATACATGCTATTCAACATTATTTACCCTACTGCAAGAAATATGAACTCCAAAGGACTCACTTTTATGAATATATGATCGGCTACAATAAGCATATAACATCTGAAAACATGCCAGGAGTAGATGGTTCTAGAGGACTACAGGGAAGGATTAAACAGTACATAACAAGAACAGGGGTTCACATATTTGATGCTAATATATCTTAAGACAGAACAATGGTATCACTTTAAATTTCCACAAAGAATGACTACACAGTACAACTGTTTGAAAGTACATTGAAGATTTATTAAATGTGAAAATCTATACTTCTACAAATTTATACAATTAATAGATAAGCTCTTTGAGATTGCATAACCAAACATTATGGTAGACATAAATATATACATTATTGAAACAGAAAAAAATACTCTATATATCCCAATTATAATCCGGATGGGTTGAACAAGATATTGCTGTATAAATTACTACTACTAGTTACAGAAAGTCTACAAGTTAATAATATACAAGAAGATGAGCTGATTCTACTAACATCCACTTTCACATGTCAAGCATCACACTATGGGAATAAACTCACCTAGGATTCCTGTTATGAAACACTCGACTCACAACGTAGTCTTTATTTTGACTGTCAGTAAAATGTCTATTACTGGTACTCAGCTGTCTGCAAAAACCTGTTGATTATATTTCAAACACATAATTGTGATGTTTGTTGGTGTGTGTGTGGACTGTGTGTGTAATACTTTTGGTGTACATCTGGAAGCATAAAGAATATAAAAGAAGCCTTCTTCGATGCAAGGGAACTTGAATGTCCATAATCTCTCCACAATTATGATTCAGCTTACTGGCTGTGTGTAGATACAGAGAGATTGGGGGGGGGGGGGGGGGGGGGGGGGGGGGGGGGGGGGGGGGGGGGGGGGGGGGGGGGGGGGGGGGGGGGGGGGGGGTTCGAAGAAAGATATCAGAAAATTATTTTTTATTTTTAAAATTTGTAATTTACAGACATATGGTGATTCATAAGATAAATATGTTAACAGGAAAGATGACACGTAACAGCACTGGAAGTTTAAAATTAAAAGATGGTGACTTATTAATGGGACATAGTAATATAATTCGCCCGTGTGTCACCGGAGCCCTCACGGGCTTGAGGTTGGATACCTCATCCTGTAAGAACAATAGCCACAAAAACCAACCATCCATGGATAAGTCAAAAAGAGAAGCAAGTAAAATCCAGCCAACCAAGATGAGGGGAGGCTCTTCAAATAGAAGAAGTATGACACGGTGTAGAGAAAGCCGCAAGGAGTCCGGATCGTTGACGTGCCTCCTCTCAGCTAGGAAAACCTCCAGAATTGGCACCTGGAATGTTAGAACTCTCTATGATATAGGGAGAACAATAGAAATAGCAAAGGAAATGAAACATTATAGAATTAGTATTTTAGGGTTATGTGAAACTAGATGGACGGGGGTGGGGAAAAGTATTCACCCCACAGAGAAGGAGTGGCCCTGATGCTATTGAAAGAAGTAGACATGGCACTAATAGAATGGGAAGCTGTGAGTCCCAGAATTATAAGACCATCTTTTAGAACAGTGAAACAGAAGGTGAACATGTCGGTAATACAGTGTTACGCACCAACAAATGATACAGATGCATCTGTTAAGGAAGAATTTTACATGCAGCTTCAAAATATTATAAATAATGAAAGAAAGGGCAATTAAAAAATTTTGATTGATGACCTGAATGCTAAGATAGGATCAGACAACACAGGTTATGAAGAAATTATGGGAAGACATGGTCTAGGAGTAAGGAATGAAAATGGAGAATTGTTCACAAATTTGTGTGCAGGAAACCAGTATGTTATTGGTGGAAGTATTTTTCCCCATAAAAGAATACACATGGCAACATGGGAATCACCAGACCATAAGACAACTAATCAAATTGACCACCTATGTATTAACAAAAAGTTTAGATCATCCCTTTACGATGTTAGGGCTTTCAGAGGTGCTGATGTATTTACTGACCATTTCCTGGTGGTAAGTAAAATCAAGTTGAAACTAAAAAGATATATAGCATCTTATAATCACAGAAACCAATATAATGTAGGTTATCTCAGGGATAAAGAAGTTAAGGAACAGTTCTCAGTTACAGTCTCTAACAAGTACCAGGTGTTGCAGCAGTTAGCTGAAGATGTCAGCACAGAAGTCTGCTGGGATCAGATCAAAGGAATCTGGAATGAATCTTGCGTAAAGTTCTTGGCAAGAAAGAAAGGAAACATAAAGCATGGATAACACCAGAATCCATTAAACTGATTGAAGATAGGAAAAGTAAAAAGGCAGACTTAAACAATAGCAAAACTAGAGCTGAAAAAGCTAGAGCTCAGGAGAAATACACAGAAGCCAATAAGGAAGTTAGGAGGCATATAAGGGCAGATAAAGTGAAATATCTAAATGATCTAGCACAAGAAGCGGAAACAGCAGCAGCAAAAGGAAACCTCAGAGAACTTTACAGTAACACAAGAAAATTAGTAGGTAAATATAGTCAGCCAACTGGATCAATCAAAAATGGTCAAGGAAAAGTACTTACTAACACTAAAGATCAAATGGACAGATGGGTGGAATATTTTGAAATGCTTCTAAATAGACCAGGTCCAGAAGTTCCCCCAGATATCCAGCCTTTAGAAATGGAACTGGATATCAACTGTGAGATACCATCCAAAAAGGAAATTTAGAATAGCTGTCAATCTTCTCAAGGAAGGAAAGGCGGCAGGCCCAGATGGTATCCCAGCTGAAGCCATCAGGGCCAACATAAACACATCAAAAGAATTGCTACATAGATTATTCAGTAAAGTCTGGGAGACCGAAAAAATACCAGCAGACTGGAGAGAAGAATATCTTGTGAAACTGCCCCAAAAAAGGTGATCTACGGGAGTGTGAAAACTATAGAGGAATTATGTTGTGTCAGTTCCAGGAAAAATATTAAGTAGAATTATTTTAAAAATATTAAAAGATGCTATTGATAAAAAGCTAAGAGATGAGCAGGCATGTTTTCGGTCAAACAGATCCTGTACTGACCAGATAGCCAAATTACGTATTATAATAGAGCAAAGCATTAAACTGAACTCACCACTTTACATTGGATTTATAGACTATGAAAAAGCATTTGACAGCATTGATAGGGAATCTCTCTGGGAATTAATGGGGCACTATGGAATCCCACAGAAAATTATCAACTTAGTGAAGGCAACATATAAAGACATGAAATGTCGAGTTCTTCATGAGGGAAAGCTAACAGATGTATTTGAAATAAAAACAGGTGTGTGGCAGCGATGTCTTTTACTGGCTATAACTGGATTATGAAAACAGTAACTACTAACACCAAGAATGGAATTCAGTGGACCCCTACAAAACAGCTTGATGATCTGGACTTCGCTGATGAAATTGCTCTTCTGTCCCATTCACGGAATCAGATGCAAGATAAATTAAATATACTTGATGCAAGATCACAGCAGCTTGGTCTGAAAATCCATAAAGGAAAGACAAAGATAATGAGAATAAATCAGGCAAATAGTAATGTGGTTTCTCTTAATGGCACCCCACTCTGAGACGTGGAGTCGCACACCTATTTGGGCAGTAATGTAGATAAAGATGGAGGAACTGATAGAGATATTAAAATAAGAATACAACAGGCAAGAGGGGCTTTCATAGCACTAGGGAATTTGTGGAGGTCAAAACAAATTAAAAGAAATACTAAACTAAAAATTTTTAATTCTAATGTTAAATCAGTACTATTGTATGGGGCGGAAACATGGAGAACAACTAAGACAATTACTTATAAATTCCAGACATTCATTAACTGGTGCCTGCACAGAATAGAGGGAATTAAATGGTATGATAGAATAACTAATGTAGAACTTTGGGAGAGAACTAAACAGGCTCCAGTGGACCAAGAGGTGAGGAAAAGACGCTGAGAAAACAGGAGAACAGCATAACTAGAATTTCTTTGCATTGGAACCCACAGGGGCATAGGAATAAAGGAAGGCCAAAAAACACATGGAGAAGAGAGCTGGAGAATGAAGTTAAAAAGATGGGGAGGACATGGGGAGAGCTCCATGCAATGGCGAAGGATAGAACGACTTGGCGTGAGCTGGTTGAGGGCCTATGCTCCATTGGGGGATAGAAAGAAGTAATATAATTAACAAATGGATATAGTATATAGGGGAATTGTATAATAGTACTAGACCAGGTGTAGAACTGCAGACCAACAATGATGGTCCACCAATAATGACTGCAGAAGTTGAAGATGCAATACATCAAATGAAGAAAGGAAAAGCATCCGGGCCAGACAACATCTCACTGGAAGAAATCGAAGCACTGAGAATTTTGGAACTGAAATAATAACTAAACTTTTCAATGATATTTATAATAGTGGGTATATTCCAAATGACCTTTTAAAATCCATATTTATAGCTCTGCCAAAGAAACCAGGCATCTTAAAATGTGAAGACCATCGCACAATAAGTCTTATGAGTCACATTATTAAGATTTTACTGAGAATAATTATGAGAAGAACATGAAACAAAATTAAACCAGAAGTCAGCAATAAACAATGTGGATTTGTAGAAGGAAATGGTACAAACAATGCCATATACATCCTAAGGACATTGTCAGAAAGAGCTAAAGAAGTAAAGACTGATTTGTACTTATGCTTTATAGATATACAAAAGCCTTTGACTGTGTGAAGCATGAAGAAGCAATCAAACTGTTAGAAAAAATAATTGATGGAAAAGATCTATGCCCGGAATTGTGGTTGGTGGGCACAATATAAACAATTTGTGTTATGCTGATGAAACAGTCTTGATAGCAACAATTCAGAAAGAACTATAGGAAATGATAGACACTGTGGTGTTAGAAAGTGGAAGAATGGGCCTCAGTTTGAATAATGGGAAGACAGAAGTAATGGTGGTATCAAAGAAATGAATTATTCCTAAATGTGTAATAAAAGTTGATTGTGTTATTTTGGGACAAGTACAGAAATTTAAGTATCTGGGCACATGGATAATATCAGATAGAAGATACATAACTGAGATAAGAAATAGAATAGGACAGACAAAAACAGAATTTTATAAAATGAAGAACATCTTATGCAATATATCTTTGTCACTGAGAGTTAGAAAAATAATTCTTGCTTGTTACATACATCCATTTTTAACATATGGCTGTGAATCCTGGACAATCGGTAGGCAGGCCAAACAATTTCTTGAGGCCTCAGAGATGTGGTTTTACAGAAGAATGCTTAGAATACCTTGGACAGCCAAAAAGAGCAACAAAGAGGTTTTGAAAGAGGCGGGAGCCCGGAGACAACTTATCACAGACATCAGAAGGAGACAGTCATAATTTTTCGGCCATGTTATGAGAAGAGGGAGAACATGTTGTGACCTCTGGAAACATCTGTGGAAGGAGGGATAGAGGAAGACAACGAGAGAGGATTCTTGACAGTCTTGTTGCACAGCATGGAGGTGTGTCGGCACACGAACTGATACATGCTGCAGGAGATTGCAGATTGTGGAGAGGCATGATCGCCCACGCCAGTCGGCAAGGCAGTTGATGAAGATGATGAAGGTGATTCACTGTTGGGTTAATTATTCACAATATGTATTATCTCTTTAAGACCCGAGCAACGCTGTGAGGGCTGACTGAGAAGTTCGATTTTTCCCAAAACAACACTGTCAGCGTCAATTGTGTGTCCCGTACATATTGCTTCGCACACGGCTCTGTTCTTGTTTCTAATTTTCGGAACTACCATTTAAGTATTCAGGAAAGGTCACTTTAACGATTTTCTTTTTAAAACATTCTGTATCCAAAGACACATGTACATAGATAGATCATATTCATATCTACATTATTTTTAATAGTGCATTTTCTGATTTCTTTTTTGAGTGCTGAAATCTAGCAATTCTAATGAGTTTACAAAAGAATGTTCCATTGCTACTGCACTTAGGGTGTAAGAGAAAGAAAGTGCTCCAAACAAATAAGACAGTACTATACTATGGCTAAGCTACATTGAAATCATTGCAGCTACAGTATGTATATAACTGTACAAAGTAAATAGTAAATAAATAGTGTGTGTGTAATGGCCCATTTTTCTGCAATTTTTTTCTCTGAAATTTTGATCAGCACTCTGTGAGAACTAAGAGCCCCTGAGTGCTAAACTAACCTAACCTATAAACATTTCATAACTTTAGAATTTTTAAGGAAATTGAACAAACTTCAAAGTGTTATTCTCAAATTAGGATATGCACTGCTCTTGTGGCTGCAAACCATGGTAAGTGAATTTTTTTGGTAAAATTATATTGCGAAATTAACACTGCTGAATTCTTCTTTCCTACTAAGTACAACAGTATTAAAACATACGCTTTTCATCAGATTCAAAATGTAGTACATGCTTTCATTCCTCTTTTTTTTTTCTACTTTTGAAGGGATTAGAAGTACATTACATTCTTTATTGGCTTTTTTGTACACCACCGCCTCTACCATTTTTGTAAAGTGAAAATAATATTGGCGAAGTCTGTCAAAATTCATGAGCTTGAAAGAGTTAAGATTCACAGAGATCCTTCAAAATTAAAATAAATATTTTGTTTGCTGTGTGTTTTTTGGCACTCTTGAGACCTGCTCGTTGACTGAGTCACTGAGTGACTCTCTCTGATACTGAGTACAGCACCACTCCGGTCTTCTATAAACACACATTAATATATTTACCAAATATATGTCTACTCAGTTGCGACAATTGAACTTTATTTCTGCAAACAGACAAAAGCTGCAGCCGTTGCATGTTTGCGTGGAACCAGACAAAAATTAATATATCAAGAGCGTTCTAATGCCACTTCCACTTGTGCTCTCGGCCTTGGCGACAATGTCATTTCCAGTGAGACTTTTTATACAATTAGTTCCAATTTTATAATTCAGCCAACGAAACAAACCAAAATTATGAATGGCCAACTCTGAAAGCTAAGCAAAATTTGTATCTTGTAAATAGTACTTAAAGTTTAGTTGCGTATCCTTTACAGAACGTTGCAGAACCAACCCCAACAGCCCCTGGCTGTTGTGTGGTTTCCCTAGGTAAATTTACGTCCAGTAGTTTGCCATTTCGCTGGACGGTCGGCTTTCTTGATACCACTGTCGAAACCAACGCAAGGCCAATGGCCCGCAGCTGGGATCGAACCCGGCATCCCGGCATTACGAAGCGTTCGCATCGACTTAGCCACAGAGCCGACTAAATAGTACTACTGTTGTGAATAATTGCCTAAAAGATCTGAGCTTTAGCTGTACATGTTAAAAACAATAATGCGGAAAACAGACAAACTCAAAGGAAAGATAAATGATGGAGATGAGTCAAAAATTGAAATAGACAAGCAAACCTTTAATCTTTCACTTGTGATCATTCGGGACTAGATAAAACAATCTACGAAAAACATGATTTGATTTGATTTGATTCAAGAACCGAAATCACAGCACTCGGGGCGTTCACATAAGCGCTCCTTCCCCATCTTCAGCTGCCAGCGAAGATTTTCGATACTAATGGTGCCAGTAGCATTCTGATTAAACGTCCGCCTTGCCTTTCCTCTGAGCCTAGAGCATCTGTCAGAACCTCTTGTCTCTCACAACTTCATCAAACTCATAACACTGTGGTGATCAATCTGCTCTCCCACAAGGCACGGACAACGTGTGCCTTATCATGCATCTGTATTCCGCCAAGCTGTGCAGAGCCAGCCAGTCCGTCCACCTGTCCATACGAAAAATATAGTTCTTAGAGGTCCTGAAAGATAAACACACAACTACAAGATATTGTCAAGTTATTAAAGTCCAGAAAGAATATTTTCAGAGATGAACAATCAACAGATATCTCTCTAGACCTTGACGTGACCGTAGGGAAACCTTATCTATGTTTCATCCCCTCTTCTTTTCAGGGGTCCCAGCAAAACTTAAGTGTTTCTGTGCCTTTAAACCACCCCCCCCCCTTTTCCACCCCAATGGTGTGAGGAAGTTGGGCCCTAATAATTTTGTGTCTTTGCACCCCCCTCTTTCCCCCCCCCCCAATAAAAGTTTAAAAGGTAGTTGAGACAGTAAAATAGCAAGGTTATATAATACCCGGTGCTGAAAATTTGCTGTATACCCCCCCCCCCTCCCCCGCCTTCCGCCCGCACACTCACACACAAATTTATCTTTATATATGTATGTATATCAAAACACTATTGTTGGGCTTCCAGGAAGTGGCAAAAATGTAATAATATTTTTAAAATTATATATTATTTGGTGAGCTCAATGTGTCTATGCCACCTCCACCCCAACCAGTACACCCCCGATTCCAGCACATCTGGAAAAAATAATACCAAGAGAGACGAACAGAAGTTTGAGGACGAGGGGCAAAGGTTGCTGAGGATACATTCCACCTTAGCAAAAACAATTAAAGTTCACTGTTGAAATTTTGCAGGTTATTTACTAACTGTTGTAGTGGCTAGACGCTTTGATTCACACCCGAAGGTTCGAGTCTGCATCAAACCGACTTTTTTTTTTTTTTTCAGAAATCATTTTTGGCTACCAGGCGGAAACAGCCTAATGTGGCTAGCAGGTAAAATTATGGGAAGTAAAGAGGCCCGGGTGATGTTTACCACATTACCCATTGAGGTCCAATTACAAAACCACAACAACAACAAAACAAAATTAGCGTCATATGACAGATGCGCTACTGGCGGCGGGGAAAATTACCCTTTATTTACTGAAATAGACGACGGAACAATGAATTGATTGAATGAATGGATTGACATAATTGAACTCAGGACATTACCACACGTCTGTGTGCCCTTCTTTAGCAGCCAACGACTAGTCGACATGATTGGACGAACTCTCCTGAAGCTGAAGTACAATAAAGTCACCTTGATCCCGTCAGTTTACTACGTAGTCATGGAAACACGGTAGAGCTGCATGTTGTTGTTTCGTTAGTTCATGACATCTTGGATAGAAGATGAGCGGGGACACAGCAGATACGCTGTTCGACTTTCACGAGACAAGGCTCCGGTCCGACAGCCATGGAGATGTGGCTAGTGAAGTCAGCTCATACAGTCGACGCAGCAGCCTGTATAGTCATTTTAGCAGGAGCAAAGCCGGACCGTTTTTAGAAGGCAACTTAAAATTGTTTGATATCATGTGAGTTTATCTAGTTATCTACTCTATAATTATAACGTGCATTGAAAGACACAACTTTTAACACATATCTCGGTATTAGGTGCTCTGATTCAATTATGTTGATGATATTTTTATATGCCAGTTATTGAGCATCTAAGGGTTCTTTTCTGTTATCTCACCACATCACGCCTGCTTCATAATTTGGTAGGGAAATCCCTAGACCGGCTTATGGTGTAGGGGATAAGGTTTAGGCTTAGTAGTAGTAGTAGTCGCTATTCATTTAACACCAGCCCTCCCCCCTCCCCCACCTATACTGCTGAATGGTCTTGGGATTTCCCTACCAAATCTTGAAGCTGGCATTAAGACGATGTCGTGAAATAACAGAAAATAACCCATCTTATCATCAGTTCTCTCTCTCTCTCTCTCTCTCTCTCTCTCTCTCTCTCTCTCTCTCTCATATATGTTGTGTATTTCTTTCCAGCTGCTATCTGGAAAGTTTGACCCCCCCCCCCTCCCGATGAGAAAATCTTAGTCCTAATGGCAGACCAACAGGACCTAAAGGTCAAATAATGTAAGACTAAAACGAGTCTGGATCCTGGTGGCAGACCTACAGGGCGAGCCAAGATACCCTGTTCAACCTCCAAAGTTATAATTACAGCAACTGTAACAGCCACACTGGTCCATACGAGCCCTGTCATGGAACAGATTAAATTCATATCCTCGGGTTCTACTGTATATATATATATATATATATATATATATATATATATATATATATATATATATATATATATATATATATATATATATATATATATATATATATATATATATATATATATATATATATATATATATATATATATATATATATATATATATATATATATATATAATATATATATATATATATATATATATATATATATATATATATAAATGAGGCAAATATCAATTGTTATATTAAAAATATGTGTCTAGCACTATATGCAGAATGCATCAGCCCATGAAATGGGTCATTATTTATGCCCACACACAAACACATGCACACACACATATATAGGGGAACCTCAAATTACAGGTGTGCCTGGATAGCCTACAGGTTTTTCAGGACACGAGGTCAGGCTCACTAGTTTGACCCAGAATATGCAGCGAAATCCAGGATGTGAGCTGGAGAGATGACAACTCTCTGCATTACCTGAAAATATACAGACAATTTTTTAAGGGATTAGGTCATGTTAATATTGCCAAAGGAGGACTTAAGCCAGTCGACAGGGCACTTGATGATGATTGACTGTAGCATCGTGGTCAGATGTAACCCCATTTTTGGCTGCTGGCAAAAAGAGAAAAAGCAGTGCCACACATTTTTCCAGTTAGCGAAACAGAAAATTATATTTTGTCTTGGCTTTTTTAAAGAAGGCTGAAACAAGTTAAAGTTATTTACATTAATTTTAATGGACAAAATAGTTTTAGCATCGAGTTGTTCACCATATGAGCCAGTCATAGAACATATTAAATTCATATCCTCAAGTTTCACTGTATACATACAGTCAACAAATATCAATTGTTCTATAACAATTTGTGTCTAGTACTTTATGCCAGATTCATCAACCCATGAAATGGTCCCTTTATGCCACAGAAATATGAATGTAAATATATTTAAAATAAATTATTATTACCATTTTTTTTTAAAGTCAAGCATTTTAAAAACCTAGCTTATTTGTATGCACACTGTTAGTTTCTCGTCTCTCGGGAAACACCCCAAATTGATCAGCTTTTACAATATCATTGTTTTGGGTGGCAGTGGGTCTGTTCTCTTCCCTCCCCTTAGCCTGGTGCCTCAGGGGTTTCTGTTGCAAAGTGGTCAAGCCGTTTGCCTCACACTCTGAAGGTCATGGGTTCATTTCACGGTTAATTTCATGAGTGTAATTATGACAAAGATCCCTGGTGATCATTGCCAGAGCTATGGAGTTCATGATCTGTGCGGTGCTCTCGGCAGGCGGCTAGCTGTTCTACAGAGAGATACAGAGCCGTATGGGATAAAACCTGGTGCAGTAAAGTCCATCCTCTCGACTTTAACTTCAGAAACCACATGGAAAAGACTCCAGTTACTGTCTTTACTGTCAGCATCTACCCTTTTGTCATGTTGTATGACAAGAAAAGTGCGGGAAGACGGGCTTGAGCCTGCTGAATTGTAGACTACATGACTAATGCAGAGTCACAGTGAACTGTGCAGGTTAGAATTTTTAATGTTTGCTTCTGATAGAAAAAAATCCTCACCTCATACCTAGGATGGAACCTACATCTACATGAAAGCCGAGCACTCTAGCCACTGGCCAGCATCCCCCACCCCCCAACTCCTGTAACACAAGGAGAATAACAAATAGTACCAAATGGTAGTTTCATCAACTATTGACATTGTATTTGACAGTAAAATTATGAGAGCTTGTAAATCTATCAAGCAGTTGATGTTTGAGACAAGGGATATTTGGCACAAGCTATGATTGCAATGAGAAAAGAGTTAAATTACTAGATGATTCTGATCCATTAGACACTATAGTCAATGTTGTGGAATTACTATTCTTGCAGTGAATGCAGGACCCGGGACAGGTGACTTTCAGTATTCATATTGATGTTTACGTATGGTTGCTACATGGTTAGATAGAATAGAACTAGTAGAGTGCATGCATGTAAAAACTATTATAAATTATGAGTTCTTTGTATTTAATAGAATTATTTTAGTGTAACAAAATAATTTATAGTTACAGTAAGTCCCAAATTTTATTGGAATTTCCCTTATTGTTTTCTGTGTTAGTTTACTGAATGTTGTTAAACAATATTTTATTCCCTTTGCTGTTCACATGTAACACTGTACGATGTAATAGTGCACAATTTTTTTAAAAGAGTTATTAAAGATAAGAAAATTAACTTCATTACACTGGGTTGTATCCTATATGTTACATATGCATCGAGACATTTTTTTTAAAAATTTGCTCCCAAAATTGATTTAGACTCCCATGATAATCTGACTCAAAGCCAGTACGAGCAGATTACTAGGAAGTAAGGGCAGCTGGCATGTGGTGACCATATGACCCATCAAGTGCTATCTGGCATCCGCCGTATTTGCCATGTCATTATAAAAAAGGTCTTTTACTTACTTTTTACTTATCCCATACGGCCAAATCTGCCTTCAGTATTTACTTACTTTTTACTGATTGCATACGGCCAGATTTTCCTTCAGTATTATCAAACAAACCACAAAACTGTGTGGCTAAAAAAAAGTCCCCAAGGATCTCGAAAACACCTGCACCACTTGACAATAAAAAATATAAAGACCAAAACCAAATAAATGACATTCAGAAAACAAGGCAAACAACCTTAAGTATTTGCCAAATGTTTGTTTCAGTTGTAACAAACAATGGAGTATTATCTAGTTTGTCTACTTCTTTAATGGCTGCTCTTAAGTAGACCTCAGTAGTCATAACTCTCCCGTTGTCTTTTTTCAACTGACATTTTCGTGAACTGATGTTTGTTACATTATTTATGGATTAGGTTCTTAGACTTCTTACATAATCTTTCATCCTTTGTCTAGCTTATCTAGTGTTATCACACTACAGCTGTTGCTCTGTTCTACCTCATATCTTGATATGCTGCATTCATTTTGTGTGCTTTTTTCTTACAGTTTTGATAAGTGATGCTGTAATTCACACATTTCTCACTACTTGAGTATTTGTTTTGTTCTCTATCTATATTCTCATTATTATTCTCAGAAACTACATGTCCACTGCCTCCAGTTTGACATTTCTCATAGGTCAAAAAATGTCAATTTTCCAAGCCTTTAGGCGTATAGGGCATATAGGGCTAGACCTATATTTTTTTAGACCAATCGGCACAAGATGGGTGATGTGGTCAGTGTCACGCCAGCTGCATTTACTTCTCAGACTGCATCCAGTACCCAATCAAGACTGTGTCAACCTGGGAAAGCCATAGACCTCTATTTAGGCTGCGGTGTGTGCATGTTCTTCACTGATTAATATATTTTGGTTTCAACTGTAATTCCAACTGGCCAGGCCTGAGATTTCTGGACTGCAGGTAGAGAGCAGGCCTGCAGCAACTGCTCAGTATTCTGGGGTGCTTGTCCATGTAGCAAAGTTGTGAGTCTCCAGTCTTTAATTTTCTGTTTGTATGGCTGTGAAGTTTATACAGTTCCAATTTGAGACTATGCACAAAAGTCACCCCATAACGTTGACCACAAGATTTCATATCAGTTCCCATTGGCTATTCTATGTTCTAGGGGTGTTATGAAATGTATGCCTTCATCATCTTGACACATAATGCCGAAAAGTGGCTGGGGTTTGTTTGACACGGTCAACACACTGTCTCCCAGGTTAAACTGTGCAGCTTTCTTTTCCCAGCTTTCTTTTCACAGCTTTCTTTTCACAGCTTTCTTTCCACAGCTCTCTTTTCACAGCTTCCTCTTCTTGAATGTGTTGTTGTGATTAGGTCTCAAATGCTGAAGACACCTGTGTGCAAAGAAGAAGTACAGCACGGCCAAGCACTGTGGTTCAAGAGTTTGCGAGTATCGAATCATTTATGTTTTTGTATCAGGATTAGCTCAGTAAGGCTTCAGTGAACTCTCTTTCTTACCTCAGTTGACAAAGATTGATTGTGGATAATATTTTATTCACAGTTTTATGAATTCTGTTTGTTTTGAACACAATACTTATAGCAATATCTAAAGTATGGCACTGCTTATAAAAGACACATATGAATCATCATGCTTTAATATGTTATGATGTTTTATCCTGTTATTGTATGTGAATATGGTTTCACTTTGGTTTTGGAAGGAAATCACTTCATTTTCACAATCTTTGAATATAAAGCAGTGTAGTAGTGTTTAAATCACCATTGATCACTATAATCATGAGATCTAATAGATTGAAATGGCTTAGGCATATTGAGAAAATGTAAAATGACAGAGAGGTAAAAACTGTATACACATGGGTTAAATGGTCGCAGACCACAAGACAGACCAAGAAGATGATGGAGAGATAATGTCCAGACAGACCTGCAAACATGTGGTGTCACCAACTGGTAAGAGAAGGCCATCCAGAGATATGAGTAGAGGTGGGTGATATCTGCAGCAATGAACCTCAAGGGCTTGGAACGCTGAAGAAGAATAAGAAGAAGAAGAAGAAGAAGAAGAAGAAGAAGAAGAAGAAGAAGTCGTAACAAAAGGCTTCACAAAGGTTTTTTTTAATGATTTTTTTTCTCTAAATCTTACCCCTAAATTCCCACAGTGATGTTTTTTTCAAACAATATGACTCCATGTTTTAAATGAATCCAAGCTTTATGGTGTGTTTATTGTTTATTTAATCAATACAGTTATGAGAATGTTTTCAGTTTTGAAAAACCTGAATATATAATTTTTTTTAACGTGGAGCTTATGATGAAAAAAGGAATGTGGTGAGTAAACTAAATAGACATACACATTAGACTATGAATGCCAAAATGTATATATACATTAATATTACCTCATGCTAACTGACCATAGCTAAAAAGATAAGAACTTCAATTCTCTATTGCTAGCGCATGGGAAATTGCAACCACTGATGTCACTTTGTTTCTTATGACTTTTGTTTGCCATGTTTTCTGCAGCTGTTTTTCAAAGGTAATTAAATAATGCACAGTCAGACAAACAGATGTTTAACCCTTTGGAGACAGTCTTTTTCGAGTTTCAGTGCCAAGAAGATGGAGCCTTCAGGAGGGGATTCTCACAGTTTATACATAACAATTTTTTTTTTAAATAAAGCGTTAATTAACATGTATAAAACTATAGATTTTCGTGTAGGAAATTAAATGAACCAACAGATATTTATGGATCAAAATGAAATCTCAACATTTATTCAAATTAACTATTCTGATTTGCATAATTTATGCAAGCAACTTTTTTTCAAACTTGGGAACAAACATAACTAACCTGAAAAATGTAGGTCAATTTTGTTATGGATGAAGCTTGAATAAGTCTTAACACCTGTATTTTGGGAAGCAAGGCCCTTGGAAGCCCTTCAGACAAGTCTCTGTTCATTTTCCTGCCTCCAGCTATGTTTCGGTTGCTATGACGTAACAGTCCTTTTTGCCATTTTTGGGCACAGGTAACCCCAGAAAAAAAATTGATGTTAAATTACTTTCTTGAAAGCCATCAATGAACAGCACATCCCACATGTGCAAGAAATGCGAGAAGCAGTCTGACTGGCTGGTACAAAAACCTGCCAGCCAATATCTAGGCTTCTATTATATAGGGCCGACCATCGGCCCAGTCGTCTTTTTGGCTACTTTGTGTTGGGCTGATATTTCGACCGCGTCGTCTTCAAAGGGTTAATTTTAGCTTTCTATATTATAACTACATAAATGAGATGTCTTAGGAGATTTGTCATTATAACAAGCTATTAGAAGAAGACTATAAATGAAACCAGTCATACTCTCACAAACACACACACATGTTTTCCAAGTAACTCTATGAATATGACTGGTTAAAAACAGAAATAACAATCAAAGCCAGATACATTCAAAGTGAATGCTATCAAACATCACAAAGAACAACACATTGTACCCACCACCATTACCTTTGTACCACAGGAGCAACACTTTGTACCTCTCACCTTTGTCATTTGCCCAAGACATGCCAGCGTGAAAGGTAACAAGAAGGGAACAGACTGGACATAATCAAAGCTAAATAAGCAACCACACACTGAGGACCTCAAACATGATGATACAATTTTTAGCTCTGACTCAGATGTTAAGTGTAGATATACCTGTTGGAGCAGCAATGAATTAAAACCATGCAAGAGCTACGGTCACTACATTAGCCAGTACAGAATGAGATTCATCAGCGTAGACACACTAAGAAACATATTTAGAAAAAGATCAGAGCACTTGTGGGTATACCCAACATGCAGTGAAGATGATTGAAATGAACAGTACAGTTCATTAAAGAGCTTAGATAAACTGGTTTGGTCATGGCACAGTAACTTTGTATCCAGGCATGAGGGAAAGGCTTTTGTTCTACGTAAAAGGTGATACTCAATACCTCACTTTGGGCACCAGCAGGCTCCATGCTGGTCTTACAGATTCTCATGCAAGACTCCAGCCATACATATTCGTCATGTGCCATGGATAATGGCCTGTATGAGCCTTAATTGAACTGGCAGGGATCTCAGAGTTTGTGGCCCCCAGATACGCAGTGTCCAGAAATCATCTGGCACTCACAGTTCACCCATGTATGGGTGATTGTGTCCATAAAATACTTAATCAAAACATATGTGAAGTCCACTGTCTAAGTATCCCACTAAAGACAAACTTTTTGAATGTCTGTAGATTGTGAGTTCTACTATAAGACAAACCTTGGTTCAAACCTCTATCAGCTGAGAGTCCTCCGTCAGTGGCTTTTTAGGTTCATGTGTCTTCTGCCTGTCGAGTGTTCTACTCTACCATATGAGAGCAAAGGTTCAGATGTCTTTCACCCAAAGATGGGTACAGCCCATTCAGAGTAGAAAGTCAAATATACAGATTTTAGGTTAAGCAGTCATGTGCAGGATGTGTTGATTCCTTGGGTGAGCCCAGTACCAGAGCAACATGTATTGGCTTTGCACTTATGAAAGCCTCCTTAGATGGCACAGTATATCTATGTACTGTCCCTGCCTTTCCTTGAGGGTTGACCAGTCGGCATGTGGCTGTCCTGGATAGGTCCTCTGGGGACAACACCTGCAGATTTAAGTATGCCAAAGCCACAGCACAAATGAGGCTGTAAAATGTCCCTCATGTCACATGAAACTAGCCAGGAAGACTAACCTGAAAAATAAATACCCAAAACAAAGTTGGATATGTTGGCTGAAAAGGTACACATGTCACAGCTATACTATAAACAGGTACAGCGCATTTACGCCACTCGGGCAAGTGATTGAGAAGAAGAAGAAATTGGTTTGGCCATCTGAAAAGGATGCCTTGATCCCAGCTATCCCAGAGAACCATGAGAAATGTAATGAACACAGAGCATTAAGAAGACCACACAATAGTGGAATGATTATATCCAAGAACAACCTAAGAAAAATGTTGACCAACTTAAGCTTAAACTGCACATTTGAAAGAGCACAAAAATGATCCATACCTCATCTCTGAGGATACCTGGAGTAAGAGAAGGAGCAGGAAAATAAGAAAAAAGGAGAAGACAAAGAAGAAGAAGTTATGTTTTTTGTTCAAATAGATACCACTTCTGATATACATTTTTTATTTCCTGTGAATTAAAAACTTTGCTGGCAGTAACAAAATCAGGTCTAAAAATGCATTATCAGTTAGACAATAAATCAAGCACATAATTATTTCGTCTTGAAATCCCAGTTTAAGAGGTGAAATCATAGACATATTTAGCTAGGAATGCAGATAAGGAAAAAGAATATATAGTTACTGAATAACAATACAGAATGCAAGAGGAGATATTACATCAGCAGGAAATTTATGAATGTGAACATAAATTCTATCAAACTTCAAGTGTTTAATTGTAATTTCATGTCAGAACTGTTGTTTGAATAAAAATAACAGAGAACAAGTAACACAAACATTCATTTGCTTGTGCTTGTGCAGAATATGACTTAAATGAAGACAGAATCACCAGTGTATAAATCGGGGCAAAAACTCAACAAATTTCAGCTTATCAAAAAGTGGGAAGTAGACATTTAGAAAATCTAAAGCTAAAATTTATAGAGAGAGACTAAAAAATAAATAGATAAGAGAATTATAAAAGATGGAAATAATCTCTGGGATGGACAAGTGAAGAGCTACAGGAATGGGAAATAAAAAAGGCTTAGTATCTTATTATGTGTGGCTTGAGTGGGTACCAGGTACAGTCCTGGGAAGTAAAGGTTGCTGGCGTAATGGTGACCACATCATCCACAAAGTGTTGTTTGGTTAAAAAATATAAATCTAGCCCTATATACCCAAAACACCTGAAGGAGTGGAAAATGGTCCTTGACATGTTATATTATTATGTTATATTACAATTAGTATATTAGTAGTAAATTATGTTTTAATTTAGTATATATTAGTAGTTAATGATGTTTCTTTTAACACATATTTGTTTTACAGTGAAGCGCACAGTAGAGATAACATTGCAGATATAGATAATCTATGTTAAGCGAACAAAAGAAGAAGAAGAAAAAAAAGAAGAATAAGGCTTCGCATGTGTTGTATGTTCCTCGTGCTTCCTTATATCATGATAAAGATAATGAGAAGAAAAAAAATTAGGTACAAACATTTACCAAAGACTCTTTAATTTATTTACAGAGAACTGTCATCTGATGTGATGTGTTGTCGCTTCAGCAGTGATGGGACACATCTTGCAGTAGGAATGTGCGATGGTACTGTAAAGGTATTTGTAACAACTGTTATAATACCAGAAAAACTTCAAACTTTACTAAAATTGTTATGATTCAAGTTACAAAATTTATTGTTCCACCTATAATAATGAATAATGTTCAAGAGACACCACTTGCTGAAGATCTCAGAGTTAAAGATACTGATTCTTCTGTCATGTGGAAGCATTTAGTTAGTTAGTTAGCTAGAAAGTCAGTCAGTTAGTTAGTTAGTTAGTTAGTTAGTTAGTTAGTTAGTTAGTTAGTTAGTTAGTTAGTTAGTTAGTTAGTTAGTTAGTTAGTTAGTTAGTTAGTTAGTTAGTTAGTTAGTTAGTTAGTTAGTTAGTTAGTTAGTTAGTCAACAGATTATCCTCATTACACATCAAACTATTTAGTCCATAATTGCTTGGATCCCCTCCATGCTAAATTCTGCAGACTGTAGCGGCTGATGACGCACACCTGTGTTGGTTTTTATTCTTCTTTTGCTTTCTGCATAGTGCTCTTGTCTGGCCACACTTCTTTAACATTTTGTTTTTGCAGTCTCTTCCAGTCTGCAGAATTAACATCCCAAGGACTTCCTATTCCTGTTTATAAAAAAAGAAAAAAAATTTTCTTTATCATGTCTGAAATGAAAATCAAATGGTAAATTGTTTAACTTCTAAGCAGTAACAGAAGTCACATTACCTGAAAAATTGTAATTTGAGGACATCAGCTGTAACAAATAACTGCTACCTATATTTCATTTTATTTTGTGTTTTGTTGGCTGTCAGGGAACCTCGAAACAATTTTCGCGCTGTTTAGGTGGGCCACTGATGTAAACAGGTTGAGGAACACTGTTTTAAACAATGCCATAATTGAGTATGTGAGATCACAGAGGGAATTTATAAAATTAAACTTTGACATTACTTTTTAGAGCAGAAATAGGGACAATGACTAAAACAGATAACAATAAATTATAGCATTTATTAGTAGTTCTTTTACTGATTAATATAAAATATATTTGTTCATAACGATTTCTTTATTAAAAATATTAGTAACGTATACTAGTTTTAAATGATGTTTTCATTTATCATATACCAGTAGTTAATGATTTTTCTTATAACACATATTTGTTTGTAATTTTTTTTTTTGAGCATATATTTGTGGTTAAGTATGTTTTCATTTAACTTATATGTGTGGTTAAAAATGTTAGTGATGTCTTTGTTTGACATTTATCAGTAGTTTATTATATTTTCATTTAACGTATGCAGTTAGTCAATGATGTTTTGCCTTTGCTGTGCACAGATATACAATCCCTTGACCTGCCAGCAGTTATACATGCTGCAGGATGAGGACACAAACAAAAGCAGACTTCCAGTCACACAGGTCAAGTTCCGTCCTTACGTAGAGGGGGAAAAGACAGAATACAGTCATATCATCATTGCTTCCTGTAAGTATGTTTTTCATTTCATCCCTCTCTCTCTCTCTAATACACATTGACTTTTAACATCTTTCTACCTTTTTCTCCCTTTCTATCTCTCTCTTTTCTCTTCTGTCTGTTTCATTTATCTGTCTGTCTGCCCCCCTTTCTGTAACCTATGTGGTTTTTCTCTCTTTCACTGTCTCTCTTCCCCCTCTCTTTCTGTCCCATGCCATTTTTCAGTAAGTGCCACACTTTATCATTCACCATGTGCCTCAGCTTATGATATAAATCTCATCATTTTACTGTTTTATTACATAACCTGACTTGACACTGACTGCATGAGCCACATTACATAACCTGACTTGACACTGTCTACATGAGCATCATTACATAACCTGACTTGACACTGTCTGCATGAGCCACATTACATAACCTGACTTGACACTGTCTGCATGAGCCACATTGCATAACCTGACTTGACACTGTCTACATGAGCCACATTACATAACCTGACTTGACACTGTCTACATGAGCCACATTACATAACCTGACTTGACACTGTCTACATGAGCCACATTACATAACCTGACTTGACACTGTCTACATGAGCCACATTACATAACCTGACTTGACACTGACTGCATGAGCCACATTACATAAGCTGACTTTACACTGTCTGCATGAGCCACATTACATAACCTGACTTTACACTGTCTGCATGAGCCACATTACATAACCTGACTTGACACTGTCTACATGAGCTTCATTACATAACCTGACTTGACACTGTCTGCATGAGCCACATTACATAACCTGACTTGACACTGTCTTCATGAGCTTCATTACATAACCTGACTTGACACTGTCTGCATGAGCTTCATTACATAACCTGACTTGACACTGACTGCATGAGCCACATTACATAACCTGACTTGACACTGTCTACATGAGCTTTCATTACATAACCTGACTTGACACTGTCTGCATGAGCCACATTACATAACCTGACTTGACACTGTCTACATGAGCCACATTACATAACCTGACTTGACACTGACTGCATGAGCCACATTACATAACCTGACTTGACACTGTCTGCATGAGCCACATTACATAACCTGACTTGACACTGTCTACATGAACTTCATTACATAACCTGACTTGACACTGTCTGCATGAGCCACATTACATAACCTGACTTGACACTGTCTGCATGAGCCACATTACATAACCTGACTTGACACTGTCTGCATGAGCTGTTTAGTTTTTCTTAGAGCTAATATTTGTAATATGTTGCATTGATAATGAATGTTGTATATTTCTTGACATTTCAAGTTATCTGGCTTTTAGAACAAAATATTTTTTTCTTCTATGTGCTCTGTATTTTTCATACACCCCTTTTTAAGTGTTACGTTGCTCTTTTTGATTTTCATGAATTTGTATATGCATGTATATGCACTGTGAATATGTTGTTTTACTATTCACTCATTTCTGAATGGTGTGTTCCATATTACTTAACTTATTTGCAGTGTGGTTCAGTTAAATCATTTAGTAGTGGCTATTCTCCTCTTGATTTTAGTATGGAGTCTATTAACTCTTTCAGTAGCAAGGGACTCACAATATGTTCATTGATTACTCTTTATACTGTACTCTTTTTGAACTATTCTTCTGTTATGTTAACCCATTCTTTCTCAATTGTTACTGCACCTCAAAGCTGCATTTGTCCATTCTATAAGAGTAAAATATTGTTACTGTAAGGTACAACATCTTTAGCATTGACATTCTTGAAATAAAATCAGTCATGGACTTTAAAAAAAAGTTAACAATTAAATAAATAAAATGTCTGTAGGGAACACTAAGGCCTAACCTCAGCCAATATGTCTGTGCTGTGCTGAATATTCTTTCAGACAAAGTCCTGAATATCCAAGAAAATAGCAAAAGTAGCTCACACAATAAAATTAAAGTAGCTGTACTTATATCTAAAGGAGTAGGAAAAGGTAGTTAGATCATCATCGTGTGCCTGCCAATTGGCATAGGCGCTGGTGTATCTCCACAGATCATGATCCCTGGTTGCCTGGAACAGCTCTCTTGATGATATCCCTCTATGCCATTGTTTCAGCCCATCCAGCATCATTTCTTTTGGTCTGCCTATACCCCTTTTTCCACTGATCTTTCTAGTTGTCATGATGTTCCCCAATGTCTCTCTTCTCATTATGTTTGTTTCTTTCTTATTGTTGCATATAGAGATCTACTTTCATTAGCTTTTTGCAAACAACTGTTGTTAGTTACTCTGGCCATCCGAGGTACTTGTAACATTCATCTCATAAACTACATCTCTGTTGCTTCCGGTAGTTAGATCAAGATCAAGAGTAATCTAAGAGAAGAATATCAAGATACACAGTTAACCCCTCTGATTTTTTCCCCTTTCCTGGAATTAATGTAAAACAAAAGCCCCCATCAAGTGATTTACATATAAGTGAGCTGGGGTAAACTAGTAAGCACAAAGACACTTGAACATAAATACACAGTTTATCCAGCTATTTTATAATAACACAGGCAAGATTTTATTGAATAAATTTAACCAAAAATAAATGACAGTATTGATCTTGCAGTCATAAAGAATATCAGCTCAGTGATGGTAATGAGTCAGTCAATGAGTTCAATACATGCAAATGCTAGTAGAGTGAGAATGGTGTTACGATGATAATAATTCTTTTGAACATAGCTTTTAAACCTGGAAAAGCTCTCAGGATGAGACTGCAACTTTTTCCCAGCTTGTTGCATTACTGCTTCAAGTAGGTCGTTCTCTTGGACCATCTGCTGCTGATAGGTGCTGACTGGTCGTTGCCCTAACAGGAACTGCGATAAAAGAAACAAGAGCAAATGTGTAGTGTCTAGATCACACATAGTACACATATTCAAATAACAAATATTTCACCCCTCCTCCTCATATTCACATTCTCTCTACTCTAGTCTGAAGGTCTTATGTCTGACACTGATGTTCGCATAGCTTGCCTAGCTTCTTATGCACGGTCATGATAGTTGAAGTCCTATAAGTCTGTTGTCTGTCTTCACTCAGACTTCAAAACTGGCTGACATGTTGTGACATGGATATGTGGTACAAGGTTATGTGCTAAAAACTGAAAACGTTATATGTGCTAGCTGTCCTGAATATTAAATTTCCAGGGACAGTTAATTATATACTCTCATGTTTTCCATTGGGTGGTCAGTCTCCTGAGTAGGTAAATTGAGTATATGCTGTGCTAGTTAAACCATCACGACGTGGCTGCACATGTGGGTGTCATATTCCCTCAAACAATGCACATGGTTTTGTGGATGTTTGAAACATTATAATTTCATTACATTCCCTATCAGTATTCAAGTCTTTTTTGATAAACAAGAACACATACACTGAAAAACAGGTACAAACTTTTAAGAAATTTGAATGGTTTACCAGCTCCCTAACAAAGATAGCTGAATCCTCACCAAGAACTGTTACAAGCAGAATGTGTATTTAGATAATTCAGGAAAGTTAGAATAGGATAGCTAGACTCCTAACAGATAACAGATGTTCAAAACAATGTTTACCCGTAATGAATTTAAATAATGCGGATACAAACAATACATTGCACAATTTATTGCCAGGCATATTTTTCTGTATCTCATCAGATGCGTTACTACAGAGTTACATCAACGTAAAATAAAGCACAAAACTGAATAAATTCAACTTAAATTTGAATAGTTTCTTCGATATATTGTCTCTGTTTCATGGCCGCCGGAAGCTCACCATAGTCACGTAACTTCAAATGTACGATGAATTCTGTCTGCTTACAAAGGAGGGGGTTGTTGATTTTTATTGTTATGGCTTCGTCAATTCTCAAAAGTCTCCTGTTCGGAGTGTAGTAAACCACACGGAAAGCAGTGTCTGTTTCAATTACGTGTCCGGAATTAAGTAGATGACGTCCTATGGAAGAAGCGGGTTCTTTCCTCTTGACTGGTCTCAACATCCTAGAAGAATCACTGAGCTGTGTGTGTAGCCATTTGGGTAAGTGCTCTGCCACTCTATTTCCAAGCTGTCTCTTCGTTCGACCGATGTAAATCAACTGGCACTTACATGTAACAGATAAATAAAAAAAGAGTGAAAATAATATTCAAGCATACCTGAGTAAATGCCAGTAATTTGCTAAAAAGACTCACACAGCTAGGACCCTTTGTAATTCAGCTCTTAATTCCTGTCTTGCTGGCAGCAGTCTGAAGTGAATTCTAGACTCCTTACTGTATTAAACTCTTTTCTAACAGAGTTAGCTCCCTTTGGTTATCCTCCTGAACCCATCTAGTTCAAGGAATGTCAAAAGTCCTCCTGTTTGCCTGTCAGCCCAGAAGGCTCAACACTTGTTAGCATTTCCACTGTCTATCTGGCTAGACATAGCTTTCACATAGTCATAAAAAGAGTCACACCTTCTCTCTACATTCCCTTCCAGTCTGCCAAATACTCATGGTGCAAGGTCGTCTGCTAACACAGCATTCTGAAAGGTGTCAACCCTAGCCCTGGCATGCAATTCAAGACAGATAATCTAGAGGAAAGATAATTACTTTTATGACCAGTTGCCTGCCTCTAAGGGTCTCTGGCCAGGAGATAATTATAAGACACTTCAGTTCTACAAACACAACCTACAGCCACTAAGTCTACCTGGTCAGTATTATCTGTTTGCTTGACACCTTACCTATGGGCAATAGTCTGAGAGTTTGATTTCAACTGCAGTCCAGGGAAATTAAATAGCTTTCTTCTGGATGACCTAGATTTAGGTTACAGCCCAAGAGCATAATTTCCTCTGTAATAAAAAAATACACAGACAAAAATTAAGTTGGGGAAAAACATGTTCTGAAGTCACCAGGCATGTTGTCACACATGTGTTGGAATGTCCCGAGTGCAGGATGTCAGTTCTTGATTCATTCATTCATAAAATCATTTATTCATTCATTAAATAAGTTTTGCAAAGATTGGAGTGTCAGCCTTATGTTTAGGCTAATTATAGAGATGAACAGTCGGCTGATATGTGCAGTAATGAACCTCAAAGGAATGGAAACACTTAAGAAGGAGAAGAAAGAGGAAGAGGAAAGAAGAAGGAAGAAAGAGGAAGAGGAAAAGAAGAAGAAGAAGGAGGAGGAAGGAGGAGATTATTCTCATTCTATAAATTACATTATATTATATTTAAGCTATTAAAGAATTTCTTGATTCCCTCAGATGCTTCTGGACATGTTAAGTTTTGGCATTACACGTCCGGTAAATGCTTACACACTGTGACCGAAGGAAGACAAACCTTAGCCCTCACCATCAACCCGGAGGGAACGCATATTCTCACAGCAGGGTCTGATTCTAAAATACACATGTATGATATTGAAACAAAGCAGAAAATTAACACAATGGAGCCGAGGTGAGAATTGCTTGATACTGTTAACTCCTAACATAATAACCAATGGACGTCTATTTATAATTTATTAGCATTGAGTAAATTATTGTTTTAAGTAAAGTAAGTAGTTTGAAGTTTGAACAATGGATCAACAGCATGGCGGACAGGTAATAACCCATAAGTACTCCATTCTTTTTTCTAACTCGAGTCTGAGTCCGAAGAAGCTCAGCACAGTGCTCAGGCTCTGTAGCACCGGGGACGATCCTGAAATATTTTGGGTAGATTTTTAACTCAAGTTTTGCCAGCAGCGCATTTAGGCTACTCTTTTTCAATTTCCAACTGCCAAGGGACTTTTTGCGTTCGCGAAAATGCACACAGGCATCCGATCTCACTATCTAAGACCAGGGGGGAATACTAGAAGTCCAATTCTACATGAAAAAATCCCAACCCTTACCAAGGATTGAACTCGGAACCTCTAGCACTCGAGGTGGACACCATGCCTTGAGACCATGCAGCCCTCCAAGTAGTAAGTAAAGTAAGTAAAGGACTCTTTACTCTTAGGCACATCGAGCTTAAAATCATGGTTGTGAAGATCTTACAGACCAGTCTGTGTGTATTGTGGTGCCCCATTTTTAGGGGAAAAGTAGAATATACCCCCCCCCCCTCTCCCCACAACAAAAAGGTTTTAAAAAGTGACTCATTAGGTGTGTTTCTTTTATAGTCAGTGTGCATCTGCCTGAGAGGGCAGGAGCCAACAGTCTGCATACAAATAAGCTAGGTCTGGGAAGTGGATGTGCTTGCGAAATTCAAACTCTGGACGAAGATTTAAGTCCAGAAATGGATGAACAACCAGTTTACAACTGGTGAACACTAAGAAGTAGAAGAAGAGGAAGATGTTTCAATATCTTCTTAATATTTCATGTAAAAGCAGCTTTTTGCATGTTAATCCAATGCTTTCTTTCTAACATTACAATTGTTTTCTTGCTACATTTCTTTTCCATGTTACTTTAGTGTTTTATGTTTATAGTCTTGTGTATCCAGGGCTTTTTTCCTGAGGAGAAAAAGGTGGCATGAGTTGCCACAACTTGTCTGAAAAAATACTAACCACAATGTATCTATTACAGTAGCGCTGAAGATAAAATGACTATTAAAAAAACAAAAACAGGTGTCAGTATTGTGTACCCATGTTTATCTATTGGTGCGCTGGAGTCAGTAGTGTAAGCTATATTCTGATCCTTCCTGTTGTTAGCATTGCAGGGATTGTTAATCAGTTAAAGAGATGGTCTGACCTTCTCATGAGAATACCATGATAGCAGCTGACACAGAGAGCTATGCTGAAAAAAAAACAAAAAAAAAACATGATGAACACAGATCAAGCCGAAGATACTGCTAACAGTGATTAGTGGAGGAAGACAGGGCAAACATACTGAATGCGCTGACATACGCTAAAACAGAAGAGTCTACGATGATGAACTGCCTGTTGAAAAGGAGTATCAAACTAGGACAAGCATGCAGAAACCAGTTGTGGGGGAAGAAAGAAAATGTGTCAGTCAACTGCTACTGGTTTTGCTGAGCATGGAAATACTGAGATGGTTGCTGCATCAAAAGGCAAAGCATGAATAGTTCGGACAAGTGTGCTAGGATGTTGATATGGACAACTAAATTTGAATGTGATGTGAAAAATATATAGTGATGGAGAATGCTACATGACATATTGATAATGGAGGATAAAGTTGTATGAATTATTTACATTGGAGAGAATGCCATGTAAACATTTTGTAATGGAGATCGGGTTGTCTGAAAAATGTGTATTGGAGATCAGTGTTGTTGGAAAAAATATAAATTGGAGATCAGTGTTGTATGAAAAATATAAATTGGAGATCAGTGTTGTATGAAAACTTGACATGAATGTGAACAACTCTGCATGTTTTAGTGATGCCCATGATGTCATGGATGGACACAGGTTTCGAGTGTTTGCTTTACAGTACAACCCAAATCATCCACATGTCTTTATTTCTGGAGGCTGGGATGACACCATTCAGGTAATTTTACTTCTTTAATGATGTCCAGGGACCATGATTCTCCTTCTTCTTCTTCGTGTACACTGGCAGTAAGTTCCAGAGGAAAGCTCTGGTTGTTCGTCCACTTCTGAACTCCAGTCCTGTTCCAGAATGTGAGTGTAACATGCACATCAATTTTACAAATCTGACTCATCTGAATGCAGACTGTGGGTTATTTGCCTCTCAGGCAGATGAACAGTGACTTTCATGGAAGCTCCCAGTGAGTCATCTTTTACAAAATGCTTTTGTGTGGACAGTCAGTCTATTCTTGTTTTCCCCCACAATGGGATCCAGGAACCCATACGGGAAAGGACCACGGAAATGTAGGTGCTAAGCAGCTTCATAAAGGAACAGATTATTTTAACTACTTGTGTAGTAATTTTGATTACCAAGTAAATGAAATTGAAGAAATTATATTACTCACTAGCAAGTCAGCTGTTAAAAGCTTGAAAAAAAAAAAGTGGAATTTCATATTTTCAATGTACACAACAACAAATGTTGTGTATTTTCAGTTCCAATATTATTTCAGCTAAAATTTATGAAAGTTTGAGAGCCACTACGTGCATACAGAAAAGGTTAAATGTATCCAAAATGAAAGCCTTCAATTTCTATGAATATTAAATATGCTTAGTTCAAGAAAGGTAAAGAAATAGGATAAATATCTGGGCAAGAGTTATTATTATTTTACAAATGTCAACTTTATATAACTATATCCACACTTTGAAATATGCAGCATGTTATCAGTGTTGCTTCTTTTTAAATGTATTTATAATAAATTATATTCTAGTTAATGTCTTTTTTTTTAATTTAAAAAAAATGTATACGGTCTATGTTAAAAAAAATGAAAGTATGGTTTTATGTCCACAGTATTGGGACGACAGAAAGGTCCATTCTATCAAGTAAGTGTATTTATTTTTGTTCAAGTTGTTTCTACTCCAACTACTTATTTCAGCTGTATTTTTTTAAATTTCTACTCTAGTTCTATTTTCTATTTGTTCACTTTATTGTTCCTCTCTACTGTAGTTGTTTCTTTCTCACTGCTTATTGTTCCTTTTTTACTCTGTTGTTTCTGTGCACTATTTTGTTCTCTTCTGCTCTAATTTTTCATCTTTCCTCTAGCTCCTCTCTAATTAATCATCTCTACTCTAATGAGATACATTCTGCTTGGCTTGTTACTCTCTGTTCTTGCTCTTCTTGTCCTCTTTTTGTGTTCTATATTTGTTTCCTCTCTACTCAAATGTTCATCTACATTATTTGTTCTCTCCAAAGAGGTTAAATACACAGCAAAATAGACCACTGGAAAGACGGAGAACTTTGATAGACTGTTGGAGACTGAAAAAGAATTTAAACACATTATGCAAAGGTTGCTATCAAAGAGGAATGAATCACAAACCAAGCATTGCTTGGGGCTGAAAGAGTTAAGGAAAGCATATGAAATATTAGAGCTAATTAAGCTTATGGAAAGAGTTAAGGAAAGCTTATGAAATATTAGAGGTAATTAAGCTTATGGGAAAAAGTTAAGGGAAGTATATGAAATATTAGAGCTAATTAAGCTAAAGAGAACTTTTATTAGACTGTAAATATGCTTGTTAAAAGGCAGCAAATTAGCAGTTATCATATACATTTAAAGATGCGTATATCACTTTAGGGAAAATGAGTCAGTGCCTGGGAGAAATGTTTTCCCAGCTTACAGTTTTCTATAAACTCTATAAGCTCTCCTGAGTACCGGTGATAGTATCTTCTTGAACCTTCTGTTGTATCTCTCCAGAAAGTTCATTGGTCCTCATCTGTGTGGTGATGCTCTGGATATTGACCCAGTACACAACCATATTTTGACAGGATCTTGGCGCAAGTCACACGTGTTACAGGTAGTTTATGTCACAGTTTTCAGATTATTTAGTGTGTGAGTGAGTGTCTTCTCTAAATTTTTTAAAAATTGTGCTATTTGAAATTTTTAAAAAATGTTACGCAGTATTTGTATTGCTTGACTGTGCAAAAGCTGTAATATCTGCTTACACAGTACCAAACAGCTGACTCAGAAAGCATGCTGAGGAAGGTCAGGACAGGCATGCTTTGTGCAGAGTGTCATGCTTCACTGCGGAGACATGTGTAATGTTGTGAATTCCCGGGGAAACCCCAGAGAGTTCCCGATGGGGAGAAAAAGGTCGGATGACCCGTGAGAGAAGAGAAAAACGGGAGAAGTGAGTCTCGTGTGTCTCATGGTAAAAGAAGTGAGAGACACAAGAAAAGCATGAGACGTGAACGGAAGACGTGAACCGAGAGACTGAAGTAAGACAGTTGAAGTTCTGCCCTGACTGAGAGAGGACGCGTGAATGAACGCCTGAGAAGAATAAATGATTCGTCAAGTGAACGTTATATTTCAATAGGAGGACTGAATGTTTTTCCATACGTCGTAATGTCAGATATCAGAGTCCATGAAGTATAGATGGATGGTTCGAGAGGCGCTGATAAATTCCTGAGTGTGTGAGAAGTCCGTCCAGGTCGCTAGATTTAGCCAAGCAAGTCGAGCACGAGGAAGCATGAATGTATGTTTGCGATAACTGGAGATTCAACGAATAAAAGCAAAGAACTCAATATTCGTTCATGCTGTGTCGTTTCAACTCACTGTTCGTCTGAAAGCAATGTAAACAATACATGCCCCTAGATGAGCACACTACATGTGGGGGCTCGTCCGGGATAAACTATAAAATATAAAACTATTTTTACCAACAAACCTGGGAAAACCGATATAATTCATTTCGACATCCAGTTGAACTCAACCATTCCAGTGAAAGCCAGAAACTATGCTATTCCCATTCATTATACTGAAAAAGTCGTAGAGGAACTGAAACAATTACAAGCAGACGGCATAATCGAAGACTCAACGTCAGAATACAGCTCACCAATGGTAATTGTAAAAAAGAAAGATGGCAGTTTGAGATTATGTGTAGATTACAGAAAACTAAATGCTATCACTCATTTGGAATCAGAACCCATTCCTTCAACAGAAGACATAATCCAGAATTTATACAATTCAAAATTCTTTACGAAATTAGATCTTTGTAAAGGGTACTGGCAAATTCCATTGACACAGAAAGCCAGCAGGTATACTAGCTTCCAAACCCCACTCGGTTTAAAACAGTGGTTACGTTTACCATTTGGGTTGATAAACGCAGCAAAAATATTCACAAAACTCATAAGAAAGATATTAACAGGTATTAATAATGTAACAGCATACATGGATGATATTTGCATACACACAAAAACTTTGCCGGAACACATAGACACCTTGAAAGAAGTGTTCAGCAACATTCAAAAGGCAAATCTGACTGTTAATCCAGCGAAATCAGAGTTTTGTTTCACACAAATCCAGTTTTTAGGACATACAGTGTTCCAAGGTAGTATTCAGACTGACGAGACAATTGTTTCTAAAATTTTAAAAATTGAAAGACCAAAGACCAAGAAACAACTACAGGCACTATTAGGACTTGTAAATTATTACGGTAAATTCATCCCTAAGTTAGCAGAACTAACAGCCCCTCTATCGGAACTTTTGAAAAAAGACCAGTTTAGAAAAAAGGATTGGACAGAAACTCATGACAAAATCATACAAAAAATCAAGTCTTCATTTGCTACTCCACCAATACTAAGACAACCGGACCCATCTAAAACTTTCTACCTACAAACTGATGCTAGTGGTCATACCATAGCCGCGATGTTGGCTCAAAGACATTCCGGTACTCTTCTTCCGGTTCTATATCTTTCACAGAAACTTAATTCCACCCAACAGAAATACAGTACTTTTGAAAAAGAGGCTCTCGCTCTTGTTATCAGCCTTAAAAAATTCCAAAAATTCTTGATAGGAAAGGAATTCATTATTCTGACTGATAACTTAGGCCTGACAAAATTGTTAACAATGGATGCAACAAATAACGCAAGAGTATACAGATGGGCGTTATTATTATCCCAATTTCAGTTCAAGATAGAACACATTAAGGGCATTGAAAACCATCTACCCGACGTGATGTGACAATGAAGATGTTACAGCATGTTGAAATAAGGTTTAATAATGATTACATATGTGGTTGTTTAGATAAAATTTATTGGTGAAAATATAGGTTGTATAACATGTAATAGGGTAATTACTATGATATAGAAAGGGAATAACAATACTTTTTCGGAAAAGTAATGGGTAATTTACACCACATAATCCAAGGGATTGAGTTCGAAATCCTAAATAGGGAAACATAGGTTTCTAATTGTAACGTAAACCAGTGACAGTAACCATGAGTCCAACGGTGAGGGTGGGACTTTGCGGGTTTTCTACATTTCTGTTCCATAGCCGATATGGACTTCAGTACTTGAAAGAGAGTACCAGAATTGTTGTTCTGTTTTATACAGACTGTGGGATGGCATGGGGTTAATACGCAGAGCCTATATGGACTACCGCACTTGGAAGAGAGTGCCTGAAGGGTTGTTTCCCATTAAGCCACTTGGTACTTATTGGTACTTATAACTGGTAATGTGACAAAGGGAAATAATGTAAAACCTATCAAAAGGGAAGTAACCATTAAAACCCCAAAATGATTATTAGGTAATCCACATCATTACATTAAAGTATTCCCAAACCTTTAAAATTATAACCTAAAGACAAAGTAATAGAAAAAAATTTAAGGTTAAATTTTTTTTACTAGAAGGGAGGGGGAGATTGTAATGTTGTGAATTCCCGGGGAAACCCCAGAGAGTTCCCGATGGGGAGAAAAAGGTCGGATGACCCGTGAGAGAAGAGAAAAACGGGAGAAGTGAGTCTCGTGTGTCTCATGGTAAACGAAGTGAGAGACACAAGAAAAGCATGAGACGTGAACGGAAGACGTGAACCGAGAGACTGAAGTAAGACAGTTGAAGTTCTGCCCTGACTGAGAGAGGACGCGTGAATGAACGCCTGAGAAGAATAAATGATTCGTCAAGTGAACGTTATATTTCAATAGGAGGACTGAATGTTTTTCCATACGTCGTAATGTCAGATATCAGAGTCCATGAAGTATAGATGGATGGTTCGAGAGGCGCTGATAAATTCCTGAGTGTGTGAGAAGTCCGTCCAGGTCGCTAGATTCAGCCAAGCAAGTCGAGCACGAGGAAGCATGAATGTATGTTTGCGATAACTGGAGATTCAACGAATAAAAGCAAAGAACTCAATATTCGTTCATGCTGTGTCGTTTCAACTCACTGTTCGTCTGAAAGCAATGTAAACAATACATGCCCCTAGATGAGCACACTACAACATGGGTGGGGAGTATTGTCTGTGTTATTTTACCAGGATATGCTGGTGTGTTGGGAAATGAACAGGCGGCAGACTGGCTGGCTCTGCAAAACTTGGTGGAATACTTGTGCATGATAAGGCAGAAGTGGTTAGTGCCGTGTGGGAGAGTGTGTACAGTTTGAAGGAGCAGATGGTTCACCACAGTCTGGTGAGATTGATGCAGCGGGGAGTGATGAGAGGTTCTGGCAGATGCTTGAGGCTCAGAGGAAAGGCAAGACGGATGTTTAATCAGAATGCTACTGGTACCATAAGTATCGGTACTCTTCACTGGCTGCTGAGGATGGGAATGGAGCGCATTTGGGAATGCCCCGAGTTCTGTTATATCAGTTCTTGAATCAACTCAGCTCAACATTGCTAAACATCACTAGAAGCAGAACATGTAAATGATTCACAAGGGAATAGTATACTAGTATATCAGACTAAAGCATAAAGTTTAATCATAAAGATCATCATTGATCTAGAAAATATATAGTCATAATTATTCATCTACAACAGACAACATCCTAGAGGGAAATAATTATTCAGAACCTGATTTTGATAAGAATCATCCCCATTCTGAAAATGAATATCATTGAAGTAAAGGTAAAGGTAAAGTCGGGAGATGTGAACCAGTGTCACTGCATATGGTTATAAACCATAAGTGCTCTGCTGCCAGTACGGACAGCTGATAAGAATTGTCCGCCTGTGTCACCATTCGCACGTAAATCTGTAGCTACAGCGACGTTCCTCCATTTACCCCAGAGTATCACTCTGGTAACTATTTCCTACAAGCTGGGTGAACCCCGGGAGCCACCCAGTTTCGAACACCGACCGTGGGCTGCAGCGAGTCGCAGCTGGATTTGAAAGAGAGCTTCTTATCGACTGCGCTAACGCGGTCCCAATATCATTGAAGTGATTATTCATAATGTCAAGAAACTTCTTCTTCTTCTTCCCTGGTCTTGTTCTGGCTTTTATTAGCAGATTTTGAAGAGGTATCATGTGCTAGCCTTGGTTGTGCTCAGTAGATGCAGGTTTTTATGGCCTCGGATATTCCATTCATCCATTATTTGCATGGTCGACCCTAGGTCTGCTTCAATTATGTCTAAATGACAGGCCTCTCTGTGGTGCACTAACTGATAGTAGTCTTGACACATGTCCAAATCATTTGATCTGTTGTCTCTCTTGGTGTTTAGTAGTGGTTCCGTTCAACTTCTATTTACATTTAGATTTGTCGCAGACCTTTCATTTCTTTTATTCATTTTTTTTCTCTTTTTGTCAAGAAACATCATTTCAAAAAATTGTAATTCAAAAGAAGAAAAATTTTTTAAACATATTTTCATAGAGCATCAGTGTGAGTTGCATGTCTTAAGCAAGATTATTCTTACCACTATCAAAATTATCAACCCAGATATCTTCCTTGTCTGTTGCTGTTCAAAAATTGCCACCCTGCTGCACTTGAGATCCGACCACTCTTTAATTCTTTGACACTATTAAATGCCACAATGGACTTTTCTCCACAACCTAGGGCATAGTGGATATCTAGTGTTGTATTGTTATACTACTGGGTAG